ATATATATATATAGTTATTGTTATTACCACCATATATATTGTTATTACCACCATATATATTGTTATTACCACCATCATCATCTCTAACATTTATAGAGCATTGACTGTGTGCCAAGGCCTCTGCTAAGTGCATTATATCATTGTCTCATTTAAATTTTACAATACTTATAGAAGAATAAACCGAGGCTCAGGAAGGGTAAATGACTTGCACAAACCAGTAAGTGGCAGAGCCAGGATGAGAACCCAGATATATTTGATTCTGGGACCTGAATTCTTCATCATGAAGTTTTGCTTCCTCGAGACCTATGTATCCTTGGATCTCCAGTCACTAATATAGGTCATAGCCCAGAGTACTCCTTGGCCAACGTTTATTGAATGGATGAATAAATGAGAGTGTGGAGAATTGAAAGGAGCAGCCCGGGCAAGTGAATAAACAGAAGCAAGACTGCTCTTGGCCAGCATGGAAGGAGGCCAATGTTTTCTTTGCCCTCCTTAAAGAATGACTCCTAATATTCTACTGGACTACCTTAGTCTTTCCATTTTCCTTTTTAGCCAAGCTTATTTTTATAAAGGATGTGATCAACTTATTGATGTGATCATTAATTAGCTATAAAACTGAGTCTAGTACATCACCATATGTTGACACCACAGTTTCACCAATTCGAAGCATTCGAATGACCTGATTTGATTTCTGGATATATTTTTTTCTTTAAAGCACCATGTCAGTGTATTGTGGAGGGAAGTGAATTCGTTGACGGTGTTAAGTCCTGATATATCTTGATAGGATCATGAGGCAGTATAACAGAAAGAAAAAAATTTTCTATTTAGTAAAAAAAAAAATAGTATCAAATTTCTACCTTTTAGGGGGAAGAACAGCATGAACATCAGAGGCGAATGGCTCTTTGATGGTGTAAAATACTTTGATGGGACTGTGTGGTTGAGGAAGATGAGCCTCTGTGTTCTTTTATTTTTTTCGCCAACATCTAGGCAAAGCGTACATTTGTGAGGGTAAATGGGAAAGCTCCACCGCTTCCACTAAGAAAATAAGGATTTTGAGTGGAGAGCCCAAGTTGGTGGGTTTGAGGGACCCAGCATGTGAGAAGAGGGCCACAATAACGTGGCAGTAGGTGGCTCCTTAGGGAAACTTGTGGCAGTGAGAAATTCCCTGCAAAGAGAGAAATATGGGAAACTATGCAAAATGAATGCAGACTTCCCGGAACGTCAGGCCTTTATCAGTCCTTTATCTGCATGGCAGGGATAGTGCAACTGCAATGCAGATAAAGGGAAGAGAGTTGGAACAGGGGGAGGTGAAGGTCAGGGAGAGGCCACATGAAAACTGGCTGGGCTGGCTCACTGGTAGCCTGGGGCACCCCCAAATACTTGGAGTATGAAACCTGTCTGTGGGATCAGTTTTGGCTGGATTTTGCAGCCTGCCTCTTTTTTCTTTCATTTAGTTGGGACTAGGGCATAAATTGACTTCTACACAACACTCTTTTACGTTTCTCCCGAGCTGTTCTTATTAACTGTGCCTTTTGGTGGCCTGGGCTTGGCAATGGAGGAAGATTTCAAGCAGAGAAAAATGGTAGAGCTGCGGTTTTCCTAAACTGGCCTGATCATAACACCTCTCCCTGGGGCACTTGTTGGGGACAATAGATTTCCTCCTCCCTTCAGTGCCAACAAACTCCTGGGACTCTCCCTAAATGCAGATTCTGATTCAGCAGGTCTGGGGCAGGGCCCCTTAAGGACCATTGTGTGTAAATGTGGGTGAGGAGGGCTGGAGAAGAGGGCGGAATGAAGCAGAGTCCATCCTGCTTCTTGGAGAAGAGGCCACTCTGCTCGCCTCTCTAAGGTTGTGTGTGAACCAAGGTCTCTATTGCTAAAGTGAGGTTTGAAAACCACTGTCTGGAACACGCCTCCTCGCTTTGCAGTTCCTTCTGCCCGGATCACCGTTTTCCTCTTTTTAACACTGTAAACCCCTATCCCACCTTTATCATGGAACTCAGGTATGTCGGCTTGAATGCCATGTTTTTTTCTGGTTGTGAAAAAGTGATTTTGAAGAAACCATTTCTGTTATCTTTGAAAGCCTCAGTAAAAATCGCACACCCTACCTTTGGATAGGGTCGTTTGCGGGGAGGGGGAAAGAAGAAAGATGGTGTTCAGAAAAACCAGGTAAAAAGAGGTGACTGGTAAAAATATAAGCCTTATCCCATCTGCTCTTCCTCCCCATTCCCACTCTCTCAGATACTAGAGAAGTCACAGGGCTTCTCTGAGTACTGAGATGGGGGCTTGAGCCGTGATAAGATAGAAATTTCAGATAAGCTAGAAATTTTCTCCTCGTTTTCTCAAGGGCTTTTGGTGACACATACAGCTTGAAGCTTTCCCAAGGAGCTGGGGTCAAGTCCTTCTTGCCCAACCTGGCTACTAGAACGAGAGGAAGGGAGATATGCCAGGAATGGCTCCGAGATGGGCTACCCTGGGGTTGCATGGGTGGAGCCCAGGCTTTCCGATAGCATCTCCTGCTTCAGAAGATGTATGAATTCCATGTGCTCTTCCAGAGTCTGTCCCTTGAAGATCTCTTGGTTTTGCTGTCTTGCAAAGATCATGCATGTCCGCTGTGTCTCCCTGCAGTTTTGGGTGTGCCATACACTGCACAAGAGGCTGTTGAAGAGACTATTTGCCAAAGGTGAAAAGTTGGAGATGCCAAGACAATTGCTGAAGTCATTTTTCTTGCCTAATCTTTATCATCTTCCTTTAGTCAGGAGTCCTAATGAACAGTCAGAGTGTTCAAATGACAGCAATTCACCTTTTCCCCAGTCCCGCTTGGCTGTTTAAATGTTTAAATGCCCTGTAGACATTGTAATGTTTGTGTATCATTGCTGTGTGCTAGGTTCCCAAAACCATTCTCTCTCCTGGATTTTTCCTCACTAAATCATTCCTAACATTTTCATTCTCTCTCCTCTCCCCTCTCCCTTCACCTCTCTCCTTCCCCCACCCCCAAGCTTTCCTTTGAATCTTGCACCTAGATCTTCATTAGCTAGGTTCCTCCTCATTGTTCAAATTGTAGTTCAAATGTTATCTCCTTGGAGAGACCTTCACTTACCTCCCAATCTAGAGTATCACTACTCCATCTCTATGCCATTTCATAGTAGTTCTTTAATAGCAGTCATTGTTACCTGCATTGGCTTGTTTAATACCTTCTTGGTGATTGTTTTTCTCCTGCTAGAATATAAGCCCAATGAAGACCAGGATCTCATCCGACATGTTCTCCATTGTATTCCCACTATTACAACTATGTCCTGCATGTACCAGGTTCTCAGTAAATGTTCATTTAGTAAATGAATAAGTAAGTGAATAAACAAAACTATTCTTTGTAATGAATAACTTTATGATCTTTCCTCAGACTTCTTTCTCCTCAGTGTCTTTTTTGGTTTCCCGCCACACCCAGAATTACTGTTTATCTTTCCATGCACAAGAGACCCTACCTAATCAGGTGCTGGTCTGTTTACCTTTCTATCTGCTACCACCCTTTGCTTTGCTCCAATTGTACTGTCTTTCTTGTTATTTCAATATGCTAAGCTTATTCTCGATAGTCAAGAGCACAGGCTCTGGACTTGGCTGAATCCGAATTTGAACCCCAGCTCTGCTTGTTGCTAGCTATGTGATGCTGGGCAAATTCGTTACCTGTCTAACCCTCGTTTCTCTCATCTGTAGAATGCAAGTAATGATAGCACCTACCTGATTGGGAGTAACTACGTGGGGCCACATACTCAGAGAATTAAGAAAGTCTCATTGAATGTTAACTTTAATCAACACAGTATGCATTGGATCAGGGTTGCAGATTTCAGTTTGCAAGTCTTTTTCAGGGATATAAAAATTAGTCTCTAGTAGGACTCGTCCGTCTCTAGTGGGACGAGTGTGGAACAAAGATGCGGAGGGTCAAAGACAGAGTTGTGTGTTGCATCCACAGCGAGATGGAAAGGTCTCAGCGAGAAGGCATCCAGAGAGGGTAGGAAGCAGACCAGTGCAGAGGTGTGGGGAGCTGGGTGGCCAGAGTGTGGCGGCAGAACATGAGGTCAGAGACGGGAAGGCGGCAGAGTCTGAAGGCCCCGGATTGTCATCCAGAACATCCTGGAATGTCATCCCACAAGCTTGGGATATTATTTGCTCTTAATTATTTAGGGTCATGGATCACTAGTGGATTGAATAGTGTCCCCCCAAAATTCACATCCACTCCAAAACTCAGAATTTGACTTTGTATGGAAATAGTCTTTGCAGAGGTAACTAAGGTAACAATTGAGATGAGATCATGTAGGATTAGGGCGAGCCCTAAATCCAAGGAGTGTTTTTATAAGAGTCAGAAAGGATGCAGAGACACAGGGAAGAAGGCCATGTGAAGGCGAAGACAAACATTCGAATGAGGAGACCACAAACAAAAGAATGCCTGAAGCCACCAGAAGCTGGAAGAGGCAAGGGAGGATTCTCCCCTAGAGCCTTTGGAGAGAATGTGGTCCTTTGAACATCTTAATTTCAGACTTCCAGCCTCCAGAACTATGAGAGAATAAATCTGTTCTTTTAAGCCACTTTTTTTTTTTTTTTTAAGTAATTTGTTATGGCTGCTTTAGAAAACTAATCTAATCTCATAATTTGATGAAATCTATAGATCTCTCTAGAAAGACATGTATGTATGCATACACATGTATAATTTTGCTTTCAATTTTATGAATACTCTGAAGATCATCCATGGATCCTAAGGTTAAGAACTCTTCCTTAGATAACGAGGCATCGTAGACACAGTTGGTTCTGAATTTCAGAGAAATAATCATGGAAGCAACACAGAAATGAGTAAGAACTAAGGGAGATTTTAAATACTGAGAAAGAATTATAGTGCAGTCACTTCCCTTTTCCCACTTTGGAAAATGCTGCATTATTTTATTGGAAACATTTAAATACAAAAGAAAATTAATAAGATTGCTTATCATGTGTCCCAAGGCAGATTTTTAATAAAACAAAAAGGAACAACGATTTTAATTTCTGCAGTGTGCTTGAAAATGATGGCACTGCTGTGAAGAAGAAAACACCCAAGGATAAATACTGTTTTGTCCCAATTCACTGGAATTAGGTGGAGACATGAGAAGGAGGTGAGTCGGGTGGTTGAATTTTCTGACTTCTGGGGCCAGAGGCGAGGCTGCTGTTGAAAGTTCAATGCCTGGGGCCTTGGGAAAGATCATATGTGAATCTCGGTTTCCCCGTAATGATAAAAATTATTGCTGTTAGGATTAAATGAGACAATATCTGCATGGCAGACATTATTTGTGGCCTACTCAGTAGCCATATATATATATATGTTTTGCTAACATTATTCTAATTTCTTCCAGGATAAAGAATCCTATTTCAATCTAAAGGCCTGTAACCTAGATCTAGATACGGAGATGAAATGGGAGTTTGCCAAAAAAGGTCAATCGTCCAAATAAAAAGACAAAGTCTCACAGAGACGAAGCCTTTGTCCCTTCCTCTTCACTCTGCTTTGAATGTTGGATGTGATATCTCAGGCTTCGGCAGCCATCTTGTAACCACAAGGATATGGACAGTTTGTGAGTGATGGCAGAACAGAAAGAGCTCTGGTCACTGACGGTTTCACCGAATCACTGAGAAGCTGAACCAAAGGCAGGAACCACTAATTTCTAGGATTTTTGTTAAATTCCTGTTTTCTATTGCAGACAAATGCAGTCCTAACCGTGACTACTAAATGTGACATAGTATGTAAACATCACAGTACTTGTCAATAATGAGAGTCAATAAATGCCAAGACCATTCCTTTCTCTCTTTTCTTCTGGTTTGATTTAATTTTTGCTTTTCCTGTGCCATTTCCCAGGGACTTCATTTCTTTCTTTTGTGCATTACACATTTAATTTTGATCAATAATATCTTATTTGACCAAATGTCGCCTATCAGCCAATCCTACTTTCTTCAAAAAAGCTGAGAATCCAGGAAAAAATTAGTGGCAATTGTGCAGAAAACTAGATGCAAAAACTTCATACTCTAAGTGTAATATGAATCTAAAGGTAGATAAAATATAAGCAGAGAACCTCAGTTCTTACTCATAGCTTTTATACTCTTACTCTGGGTATAACTTTTATCAAAACTTGGCTAAATGGTTGGAATCCAGCTCAAAGCATGAAAATGATGAAGACATAGGAGGAAATGAAAAAAAAAAACCTATAAAAAGTAAAAATATGAAGTGATCATTGTTGTACCTCTAAGTCATCTAATGTAGTTGCAGGCACTTGTACACTTGAAAATCCCCAAGGGCATCTCTGTATCACAGCGTAATGCCAAAGTTGACATTCCTACTTACCTAGAGATGTATAGAAAAGGTTAATCTATGTTCTATGTATTCTGCCTGAGGCAGGGAAATACTTTAGCTTTTTTTTTTTGAAATTTTCCCCTTTTTCCCCCCAAGTATTTTGCTTGAAAACAGTCAACTTTCCATGTCTGGAACATTTCTTTTTAAATATTTGGATAAACATGTTATCCTGTTGCATAGACATTTCACATGTTTAGAGATCATCATCCTAAATTCTTCTTAATCTAAATCTCTACTAAGACTTCCTACAGAACTAAACCATTACACATGTGCAATAAAATTGTATTGATTTGACTTACCTTTACTTGAGAAGCTGTGGGGTGTTATAACTTTATTCATCTAATCTTTCAGCTTAGAAAGAATTCCAGTGCCAGCAGTTGTTCTGATTGGGTGGTCTCAGGAGCTGGTCTGTGAGGGAGATCAGTACACTTCCAGAGCTCCATGTTACAAAGCATGAACTGGCTAGATAGTGATCCCCCTGGGCTAGTGTTACGGACAGCCCTGGGAGTTGGAAAGAGGTGATGGGTTTTCAGCTTGGACCTCAACCTTCGTTGTCCTTCGGAAGGAGAGAATCGTAGACCCTCCTTCACTCCACCATTAGAGAGAATAAGGTGGTGAGAAAACAGAACAGGTAAAGTGGACACAGATGTATGACAAAATTCAGGTGAAAAAGCTGAAGCATCACTCAGCCGGGATTAAGAAGTAAAGACCCAGTGTGGGACATGAGGAGCTTCAAACTCAGGGATCAGACCAGACCAGAGCAGTACATGTTTCTCCATTTCTTTTGGCCATCCTGGTTAAGTTGAATTCATGCATTCCTTCAGAAGGATGGGCAGTCAGATCGGGAATTCTGTACATACTTCCTAGTATGATGTTCCTAATGACAGAGGATAAATTAAGCATCTCTCATGACAGAATTTGGAATCATTCATTCTCAAAACACGTTTTTTCAGCTCAATAAAACATAAATTAAACAATTTCAGGTCTTGTTTATTATAGATATTTTGACCGAGAGGACCCAAGGTTTTGACATTCATAGGCAGAAATCAGGTGTACAGTGCTTCTATGTCAAGGTTCTTCATCTAGGTGTCCACGGATTTATATTCAAGAAGAATAAGAAGTCACTGGAAATCCATACAAAAGTCTGTATCTAGCTGTACATGTGCATTTTTAAGACCAGCTGATCAATAGCTTTCAATATATCCTCAGAAATCTGTGACCTTAATGAGGCTTAGCAACACAAACTTTTAGGATATTCTCTTAAAAACTTAACTATTTTTCTAATACATAAATAATACATTGTTTAAGTTTTTGAAAATGTATATGAAAAAAATACCTACGCCAAAGGTTAATTATTTAACTATTCCTCAAATTTTAAAAAATTATGTATGTATGTAAATATGTGCAATTAAAACATATACACATGTTAATTATAAAAAATTGGATATAACCAAATATTTTAAAATTGTTTCTTCACTTTTTAAATCATGTATGTGTTTTCATTGTATACATTTACATAATCATTCTTAATGGTATAGTATTCTATTGTATAAATGTATCATAATTTACTTAACCATTGAAGATTTTAAAAGACATTTCCCTGTTATAAATAACACTGAAATATATATACATTTTTGCCTATGTGTCCAATTATTTTTAAAGATAAATTCCAGGATGTAGATGTTCTGAGTCACTTTTAAGTCTTTTAATATTTTGTCCAGTTGCTTTCCAAAAATTTTACACTTGTGAGAGTTTCTCTTTCCTTATTCTTTTGCCAATACTGGGCATGATCATACTTTTTACCTCTGTTAATAGGAGAGTTAAAAAAGGGATCTCAATATGTATTAGCATTTATTTGGTGATGAATGAAGTTAAATATATTTTAACATTTTAGTTCTTATTTGTATCTTTCTTTTGAAGATTGACTTTTATTAATGTCCTTGGCCCCTCAGAACATTAATCTTTTTCTTCACATGTAAGAACTTTATAAATATGAATCCTTTGACATCTACATTGCACATAAATTTCCCAGTTTGTTGTTGGCTGAGTATTTTGTAGAAGAGAAATTTTAACCTTTTATGTAGCCAAAGCTTTAAGTTGTTTTATTTAGATGTTCCTCCATGTTATATTTAAATAGGTTATATAAATGTAAATATAAATATAAATATTTTCCTCTAGAGGCTTCTTTTTTAAAATTTATCTTTTTATTTCTATATCAACCAACTTTTCTTTAGGTTGTTCATGATAGCACATGACCCCAAAATTTCAGTGTCTTGTAATAACACATTTATTTCTCACTCACTTTACATATTGGCTATGGGATAGTGTTGGTGCTGTTTCACATGTTCCTCATTCTGGAATCCTCCCTGAAGGAGCATCCACTACCCCTGTCTCCTGCCAGTGGGACAAAGAGTGATGGTGGAGCCATGCAATGGCATATTGACCTTCTAGGATATGGCGTATGTCACTTCTGTTCACTTTTAATTGGCTAAACCAAGTCACATGACTAAGTCTATGTCAATGGGGCGTGGAAGTTTAATCTCATAGGAAGGGCAGTGGACAGTTCAGAACTAAGTACGATCTACATGTTTATTGTAGGGTCTAACTTTATATTTTTCCAAGTACTTAACCAATCGTTTTAATATCGTTTATTAACAGTCTTATTTCCATGCTGCTCTGTGATGCTACTTTTGTCACACACCACTTTCTTATAGATCTTTCTTTCAGTTCTTGGACATTCTGTTACATTTCTTTGATCTATTTTTTTTCAGTCCTGTAGCAGGGCTAGTACTACTTTTAAAGTTAGCTAGGGAAAGGCCCACTTTATTTCCCTTCATTAAAATAAAATGTCTTGAGTATTTTCTACGTTCATTATTCTAGCTGAATTTATAAAACCCTGTATTTGTTTCCAAAAAAGTCCTACTGAGGTATTGGTTGGATTGCATTATATGTTTGGATTAATTTGGGGAAGAACCAATTTGTCTGTAACAGTAAGTCTTCTTGCCTGGGGAACATAGTTACTTTAATTGTCCAAACTATTTTTATTTTTCTTAGAGTTTTGTAGATTTAAAAAAAAAAAGTCTCTTAAAATTTATTTTAAAAAATTTCAGTTTTTGACACTTCTGTTAAATTATTTTCTCCCATGATATTTTACAAATGATTATAACTACCATGTGGGAAATTATCGTCTTGTTTCATATTTAGTTCTTAATAATATTAGAACTCCGAACTCATTTATTTAATAGTTTTTAGTAGATATTTTTTTATTTTTGAAACCAAATAGTTATATGTACTATTATAGTTTACGTATTATTTCTTTTTCTAACTAATTGCACTGACCAAAAGTTCCAAGACAATACTAAATAATAGTAGTTATCTCAGGCAACATTTTCTTATTCCTGATTTTAGAAGAGGGAATATTATTGATGTTTATGAACTATTCTTCTAACCCTAGTATACCAGGATTATACACCCAGGCATGCAGTTGAATTTTATCAAAGTGTTTTTATGTTAGACTTCGAGATTTTCACATGGCTTTCTTATTTGGATATATTACCATAACGAATCAGATAGGCAGTTTTATAATATTGAACTATCCTTGCACATCTGGAAATAATGCTGACCGAACACAGTGTAATATTTTTTGAATATATAGTTTTATTTAACTTGATATAATTTTTAAAATGACTTTGCATCCAAATCTAATATTTTAATTTATCTTCAACTTTGCTTTTGGGAGGGGTAGACAAAATTTTTTATGGTATCAGAATTATACTGGCTTTATAAAATTAATGAGAATCTTCTTCTTTTTCTACTTTTTGAAACAATTTCAAGAGTATAGGAATGAATCCCTTTCTTAAAAGTATTCACCTGTAATACTGTCTGGTCCTAAAACGTGTTGGGGAAACTTTTTTTTTTTACTTCTTGCATGGTAGTTTGTGTTTTTGACTTTTATTTTTACCTCTTCTTAAGTCAATTTTAGCTATTTATAATTTCCAACACATTTTTCCATTTAACCAAGATTTTAATATTAACATAACACTAAGGTATCTTGTACCATTTAAAATATTTCAGAAGCTGTAAGTTTAAAACAATTTTGAAATTTCAATTTACAAGATTTCCTAGATGCTAATGAAGGCAGAGCAAAGGCGTCAATTCTGTCTGCCACCAATAGATGGCGATAGCAGTCACTTTATATTGTTATTGGAGCAAATGGACTTTGAAAGTCTTTCAGAACCTGACCTCTTCCTAACAAGATCTTCACCATTCCTAACGTTATATAATTATGCCTGTTTCTTCCTGTTCCTCACCTCTTCCTTCATTTCTTTGTTTCTCATTTCATTCCCCTCCCTTCCTTCCTTCCATCTTCCCTCCCTTCCTTTTTCTCTTGCCTAGCCTTGGAATATATTGGTCTTTTCAAAGAACCAGAGCTCAGATTTATTTTTTGACTGCTATTTGTATCT